TCTTTTACCTTCTCAATTCAAGAATAAATGCAATTTTGAGGTAAAAATAACTGATCTATATTGAGATTTTTTTCCAGTGAAATCCCTGTTTTATCATGACCCAGGATGCATAATCATTGTTTTAATCTTTACATTATGCTTTGTAATAATTAGGTATTCTTTTAGGACTGCATGCAACATGAAACATGTTACACTCATACGTTGAAGCTAGTGATAAAATGCTTTAAATCAAAGCATGTTCACCATCAGAAATGGCTCAAAGTCTGTGCATGGCATTGCTGTTCGCAGATGTTCACTATTCAGGCCAAATGAAATGCATGAACAGCAAGATTTCATGGTGCTGAAACACTTCATAACTTTATCCCTTTTGATATTTCATAACTGAAAATTGAGCTTTTTGTCATATAAAGTGCAACATGCACGTATAAACTCGACTACCCCTAAGGCAAAAAAAAGCAGTTGAAATGTTTAAGCCATGAAGCGGATAGAGAAGGGAACCTTCAACTCTGGGCAGCTGCACAGATCTCATGGATATGAGGAAGTTGTGACTAAATATGGAATAGGAAGAAAGCTTTTATTTTATGTTTGTCATGATCACACATCCTGATTTTTCATTTTGGGAAGCAGGTGTCGCATCGCATTGTAGATAAACACAAAAGGTAACGATAAAAACTCAACAGCCTGACATACGAGATTACTGAGGAGTAAAACGAATCGAGCTGGGAGTGACGTTAGCAGCTTAGCGTGGATGGAGGATGACGGGTCGCCTGCTGGAAGTCGCTGTTTCTCTGCTTCTCTCAGAGCCTGAAAATAACTTTGTGTGCAAGGTAGTGGAACCACAAGTGTCAAACCACGCCTGCAACACATTCAGCACAACTTGCAGGAACACTAAATACAGCCTACTTTTTCCCCTCACATAGGAGAAAAAAAAAGAAACTCGCAGCCATGTTTTCGGGAACTAGTCTCCCTCTCAGTCTCATGTCTCTGAAATAGCAAAAGGCTCCATCTGAATCACAGAAAGTGAAAGAAAAAAAAAAATCAGCGGGAAGGTCAGCTTGCACGCTTGTGACTTCAACCCAGTGTTTCTCCATGATTATAAACGGATCCAAAAATGGCTTCAGTTTGACCTTCAAACCTATTTTCTCTCCACGCTGGTGATGGTTGTCTACAGCGCTGTGACTATGGTCCGACAAAGTCGATTCCTGAGCTGTGAATAGTTATTCTGCAGCAGGAAACAACCTGGGTTTTTGAGGTTTAGAGCTTTCGATACTTTGAGGTTCTGTGTCCCACATATAGTCCCCCTGCTATTTGCCGTTTTTTTTTTTTCTTTTTTACTAAAGAGAACTGAGCAGCACATGAGCAAGGGCGATAATTTTAACTCATTCTGGCTTTTATCACAGAGGCAGCGATGCATAGATGTACCAGATACTTGCACTTCCCTTCTTTCTCCCCCCTCCTTGTGCAGAGATACGCACACATGCAGGTAATTCAAATTAATTAAAAAAAGGACTTAGCCCAGACTGCAACTTTTTTGCTCTACACTTGGAGCTAAACATTTTATAATAGGTGCTTTTTCAAAATATTTTTAAGCAAACACTTTAGATGAAGATCTGGTTAAGAAGCACATGGAGATTTCCTGCCTGAGTCAAGCTCCCTTCCTGACACCTCACCGGTAAAGTCAAAGAGAAAGCCTTTGTTAGTAAGCATGTATAAATGTGTGTGTGTGCGTGCAGGTGTGTGACCTCTGTGGTGTAGTGATGTGCTGATCTCTTTCGGCTTTGGCCCTGCTCCTAAACTCTTTATCTCCAGGAGTGTTGAAACTGTCTGATGGCAAGTTCTTCTTAGGAAACTCTTACACATCCTATTTCAGTTTCCTCTCGCATCTTATTTTTGACTGCGAGCTGCTAATCTTTGCCGTTATCTGGATATGTGGAACGCTGCACAGAAGCACGTGACCGGCCTTTTTTTGTCACGATGAACACAGTGTTTTTTTTATTTACCCAACATAAATTTTCCTTCAAAGCCTGGACAGTTTAACCTACAAAATCTACACCTTTAATCCATAATTTTTTCATCCTTACATCTTTAAAAAACCAACGAACGATGACTATTTCTTGCTCTTTCTCACACCACCCATGTTGGGAGACTTGAGCTTGCTTCCTCCTCATTTTCACCATCAAATTCCCCTGCTTGATGTTCACCAACTCAAATCAAGGCCACATTAAGTATTCCTTAAGATTCGGGTTATTAGTGACATGCCATGGATCAAAGACGTTTCTATTTCCTCCACCTTTCCTGCCAATGACCTAAATGTGTCTCTTTGCAGCTTTAAATGTCTTTTCCAGGGGGTTTGGGCTGTACTCCCGATGGATGAACATGTGGTAAAGTTAAATAAACATCTCTATGTGTGTTTTGCTTTTGATCCTGACATTTTCGCCTAACTGTCGGAGTTTGGTTTGGATGCACTGGGAATACGGACATGGATGTTGCTGCAGTTTTATTCATTTATTTATTTTTTTGCTCCTGTTTGGTTGCTGCTTCATTTGACGGCTCTTCACACACACACAGACACAGGCTCTGAAAAGTCTACACAACCCTAATAAAAAGCGAAGGTAGGAAAAATGAAACCATGGGAGTTAAATTTCAAACCTGAATCACCTTTTTGTTATATAATCTCTTTTATTTAAATTAAAAACAAGAGAATTGATGTTTTGATTCAGTTGCAGCATTGATGTTTTATTGACTTCACTCCTAACATCAATTAAGCCATTTAGATGGGATTTCTTTAGGCATTTATTAAACTTTGGTTGTTTTCTGTGCAGAAATAGTCCTACCAGATCAATAAATCTGAATTAAGAAGCTGAAATATCAAAGAAAGCAAACTAATCTTAGTGCCAGAATGTGTTAATATCAGATGAACCAAACGACACCTGATCAACACATCGAAACACGGAAGCAGTAGCATCATGCTCTGGGGCTACTGGATGCAGTTTGAGACGATTCCAAACAGTTTTAAACCCAGAGTCTTTTGGTGTCTACTAAAAAGATTATTTGTCTGCATCACTGTTACCTGAAGCAACACGTTTAACCCTTCAGCATTGGGAGAAGAATCTGTGGATTCACTTCAGTTTTAACGAAGCAACTGAATCAAAAGGTGCGTCAACAAATGATTAGTTGAGGGCGTGCAAACTTATGCAATGGAAACATTAATTCCTGCTGGCCTATTTTACATTTTGCATCATTTTTGTGTTTTTCTGGTTTGATTATAGAAGATAAATGCTGTATGAAAGGTGTATAACAGGTTTGAAATGACTCATGATGGTCTCTTTGTTTTGGAACGGGTGTGCGCACTTTTTAAGTTCCCTGAAGATCTGTTTATTGTAAATGTTTATGAGCATCAGAGCTGATCTGGGTGGGCTGCTGGTGAGATGCTGCCTCGTACCTTTGTCTCCACGGTTGTTCTGCTGGTGGGCGGAGCTAGCTGACAGGTCCTCGGGGACAGCCATGGGCTCCTCTGGCTCTTCAGACGCTTCGTTTGCAGGGGGGCTCTCCCTGCCTGGTGGAGACACACACCCGTCACTCACCACGCAACCCCTCGACAAGCCTCTCTCAGGAGAAGATAAATTACCTCCGGTTGATGCAAAGAGGCTGTTTGTGGGCCTATTGTTTGGACTGTGTGCGCTCTACATTTCAATCATGAGGTAGGGAAGAATTTACCTGGCATCTGGGCGATTTCTTGGGCCTCTTCGGTCTCCATGCGGTGCAAGTACTCTAGAGAGGAAATGTAGATGCGAATAAGTTCAATCAAGTTCAACATTAGAAGCAGCTTTAGAGGAGTTGAGGGTGTGACTCCATCAGCTCAGCAGGATAAGTCTTGTCACAGCCGCTGTCCCCTACATTAGATTACAAAGAATTACAGACGTTTTCATTATAAGCCTGACAGAGAGGCTGAGCTGGAGCGCAGCCCCGGCTCCTGCTCACAGGGGCCCCGCCGGTGGGACGCCTTCGCCGGGAATGGGCTTTCAGACCACATTTGTTATTTATTGTTAATTTCCTGCCACGTAATCATCCAAAAATGCAAACTGACTGCCGCAAAATTAAGCAGAAAATTAACTGGCCTCGGGGTCACCGGGGATGCGGGCGACCGCCGTGCCCGGCTGATCGACGCTCGTGTTCTCTCTAATTTACTGAGCATGCATCGCTGAGCGCGCGGCCCGAGCACAGACGCCATCAGAATCAAGGAGTAAAAAAAGGAGGGACACATCGAGAGCGAGAGAAAGATCATCTAAAGTCAAAGGAGGAGGTGTGTTTTGTCACACTACAAACTTCTATCCATTTGATTAGGATTTTATGCTATCCAGCAACCTTAGGAGCAAAACTGCTTCTGTATTCGACCACTTTTACTCTGATGGAGTCTAATTCATCACCAATTGGTGGCCAAGAGAGGCATGGTGACTTTGGAGGAGCTACAGTACACTGATCTACTAGGAGACAGGATAATGAACAACACACGCTATAGATCAGGATTTTATAGAGAGGAGAAGATGACATTTTTTCCAGTTTGCTGATTGTCAAAAGACATGCAGGGAACGCAACAAACATCCTGATGGTGAAACAAGGCGGTTGCAGCATCATGCTGTGGGGTTTTATCAAAAGGAAACATGGAAAGTTTTATGTCTAAATAGAAAAATATGGAGGTGGAAGCATCATGCTGTAGAATCGCTTTTTTTTTTGTGATCAAGCAGTTGGGGTGTTGATAGGAAGATGGACGGAGCTGCATCGAAACATTTGGGACTTTACGACCCTAAATTTACAGCTGGGGCTGCGATAGTTCTTTAGATTCTCTCCAAACAATCTGACTTTGCTCAAGCCGTTCTGGAGAATCAGGGGGGAAAAAACAGCCCCATCTAAAAGACATTTGACTCGAGCAGGTTTTTAATTCTTAGGTGTTTTCTGTACAAATTAAATCTGTCCCTTTAAAACAAACTTAGGTTTGTGGTCGTAAAGAAAGCTCAAATTTTGTGAATACTTTGTTAAACAGAAAAGCAGGCCGAAGGATGGAGGAGTTCTCTTTATTTATTAATTTTTTTAGCGAGAAGAAGCGATCCAGAAGCGATCCTCTGGCCAGGGCTGAGTATCTGAGGAGTCACCAATGCTCGTGGCCCCATTAATAATGGATGGCCCTCAAGCCTGCAGCAGATGGGCCCGACAGCCTCGGCCCTGGGCTCCGCCACTTCAAGAAGCCTGCAGTGGGGCGGCTGCCCGGTCCAAGCAGCCACACAGGGAGAAGTGAAGCTCCCGAAAATAGCGAACCAAGCCCAAGGGAGAAGGGGAACCTAGGCCTTCCTGTTTTACTGACAGATGGCTCATCACACTTGGAACAAACAGTGGGAAGGGAAAAGGCCTAATCTGTCGCAACGCTCAACATTCTGCGGAGTCAAGTCGGGAGCTCCACGCTCACAGATGCCAACAGACGCCCAGGATGCAAGTGTGAGAGCAAGAGGAAGAAGGACAGAGGAGGAGGGGGGGGCAAAGGTCAGCGGTGCGGATGATTTGCTCAGGGTGTTGCGTGTTGAGCTCCAGCTCTGCTGCTCAGCTTCTCAGCATCTGGAGTTTGGAGATTGAGGGACTGAAGAAGCTAAAGCATGCCTTGTATGTCCTTGTTTTTTTTCTGGGTGCGAATTTAAGGGGGTGGGGGCTTTATGGGGTTAGCTTGAGTAAAATAAAGAAATCTAAAAAAAGAGGGAGTTCCTACATTTACAACCACAACCCGCCTGTCTCTGTGTTTGGAAAGTTAGGTGCCGGGTAGAACAATCAGGAAGTAGCTCTTCAGCTCGACCAGCGGCTCTATTTTCACGCTGTTTTCACTCTTTACATGTGACAGACATTTTTGTCTCGTTCTAAATTTATTTCTCTACTGTGCCATTTGTACTTCAGCTTTTTTTTAAAAAGCACTTTGCTGCACAGTGACGGTCCTCTATCCCGCCTTTGTCTTCTTTCAAAATACTGATAATACAAAATCGGCGTGTTTTATTTTAAACGCTCTCGCAGAAAACTGAAACAAACTGAGTGTGTTGGTGGAGTGTTAAAATAAAATGTAAAAAAAAAAAGGTGGGGGCAAGTGGAACCTTTGTGCTGTGGGGTGGAAGTCATCAAGAAGACTTCTGACACAGAGAGGAGTGGGACTGGAACAGTTTGGGTCGTAGTTTGTTAAGTGGGGAGATGCAGGAAGAGGCTTGTGGGTTGACAGAATTCTCGGTCTTCCTCCTGTGTGTTTTCTTGTGTGTGTTGATGTGAGGTGCTTTGGTGGGGGGGGGGTGTTGAGGCGTCTGCTCATAGCAGGGTGCAAAAGCTACACCAGGGAGCAGGGTGGAGATGAGAAAACAACAAAACCGTTAACAGATACTGAGGACCACGCCAGAGCATAGTGTGGATACTCAGGAGGAAGCTTCAAAACTGGCTTCTTTGGAGATAAAACTCTGGGATTTACATATACATATCTATATATGTATTTCTTTTTTTGTTTAAAACCAATAGAAGAGTGAAAAATATCTTAATTGAATTCACGTTTCCTGACTTAGAGTCATGAAACAGAATAAAATTCCAGGCGCTACACTGCAAAAACAATCCAGAAATAAGTAAAAAATGGCTTAAATTAAGTATATTTAGCCTTAATTTGAGCAGGTAAATAAGATGATTTGCCAATGGAATGAGTATTTTTACTCTTAAAATAAGATAGTTAGATAATATTTACTTGAAATAAGACGATAAAATTGTTTTTTCATATTTTAAAAGGAAATTGTCTTGTTCCATTGGCAAAGTGTCTTACTTACCTCCTCAAATCAAGGAAAAACACACTTATTTTAAGAAAAAATAACTTATTGAGATTTTTCTTTTTTGCAGTGTACGACTTAAAGGTTTCAGGAAAAAAAAGGTTACCACCGTAAAAAACATTTCAAATGTGTATAAAACATAAAAATTGCTTAAACTTTTTTAACACAGTCCAAGGAAATTGATAAAAATATGTCAATTATTAATATTTCACCTTTGGAGGCTTTTTTTTAGACTTTTACCAATCATCAGCTACGAGGCAACATGTTGCACAGCCACCTTTGTTCACATATACATGGAGATTCTCATCAGTAATTCATGAAATGTATGGGTGGAAGTGGGTAGATAGTGTTAGCAGATGTGTTCTGGGAGCCCATCGAGGGGTGGAGGGGGTAAGGAAAGGTGCACTGAGGAGAAGTTTCCTTCATTTGCATCTGACACACTTCAATACTCTGCTATTCAGACAGTACAATCATTTTAATAACTGTCTGTCTTTCTCCACCCAAACGCACACACACACATTCTCACCCCAACACACACACACACACACACTATGGACTCTCTTCTTCTTCTTGACAAGAAAGATGATGTATCTGCAGAGAGATGTTGCAGCACTTTGAGCACTTCACTTTCCATGTGAGCTTTGCAAAAGCCCCATTTGAGCAGGTACTGCCTTTCACTTCACACTTATTTTTAATTCTCTGTTTAATCCATGCCATCATACTCCTGACCAGAATAGATTATTTCACATATCATGGATTATATAAAGTGGACTATAGTTTAGTTTTCTTTCTTTGGAATTCAAAACCGTATTTTTTTAGCTGCACTTAGATTTATAATCATAAATAAAGGAGAAAGGTAAGTAAAAAAAAATATATATATATATATATATATATATATATATATATATATATATATATATATATATATATATATATATATATATATATATATTTTAATTTAATTTTCATTTTTGTTCAAATCAGATATTAAGTTCAAACTTCTGCAGGAGTTGAAGTTTCTTTCTAAGAGTTTAAAAGAAGAAGAAGAAAAAAAATGTATTTCCTTTTTGGAGTGTCGATGAACAGCCTTTCACCTCAGAGGCAGAAGTGTTAAAAAGTTCCGTCAGTCCTCCTATACATGCGTTCTTCTTCCCTCTACACAGACGTGTAAGTAATCAACTGAAACTGCGGTTCATTTTAGAACAGACGCACATAAAAAAGCCTTGAGGTTTTGGAAAATGATCGGATTCATTGATTATTAAATAGCGCGGAGCGCGTTTTTTATACCCCGCGCGCCTCGGTGCAGATTAATTTCCTGTTTAAGGAAGAAAAAGTTTAGTCCATCGACCCCTCATTAATTAGTTTTTATCATTATTATTTTTTTATCGTAAAAAAAGCATAAAAGCTGATCTGAGGGTTACATTGAGCCTCAGAAATGTTCTGTTGGACTATCTGAACTTTACGCATCTGTTTCAACAGGTGCCGCTAAAAGGCAGAGCAGTTAAACGCGTTAAAATGATAAGGAAACGCTAAGCGCTTCAAAAACCAAACCACAAACACGATATTTAAGTTATTATATAAAAACAAATCATTTATATCTTGAAATATTCTCATTTATCCACATTCCCAATCGAAAAAAGGCCCATGGAAAAAAGGGGAACATTTCCACTACTTCCTATAAAATTTTGGCAAATGACGCGGAAAATAAAAGTAAAAAGAAAAACTTAAAATTCGGTTTTAAAATGTTATTTAGTAAGATAGTTCGTTTTAAAATCAGAAGGAATGAAGAAACCGAGACGCATGAGCCGGGATCTGATGCTGAGGCGCACCTGCAGCCAAACTCACAGGAGGGTCTTATTTTTCCAGTCAGACGCAAATGTTTCCCTAATTTCTTTTAGAGCGCATTGAGCCATATTTACTGGTTTATCAGCTAAAAGGTCTGTGAGTTCAGCGTAAAGCCGGAAAGTTGGGTGGATGTCACTTTACCTGCTATTCCTTGAGTTTGCAGAATGAAGTTCTTCCAACTCTCCCCGGCTCCATGTGCAGAAGGTCGCAGCGCCGCGGCGGCCCCATGGAGCTGCGCCCTGAGTCCCTCCCCTCTCCACTGCACTTCCTCGTTCCAGCCCAACATGTCTATGCCTCTGAGCTCGGCTGAGGCATTTTGCTCTGCTTTTATCCACGCTCTGCGGCGGGGAGTTGAGCCCACCGAACCCTTGGCACTTGCTTTGTGCCGTGCCAATAAAAGCTGACACCCAGCAGACCATCACTGGCAGCCATGCATGAGATGGGATGCTGCGAGCGGGGAGAGTGGACCATTCATTGTTTATTTATTTCATTCACACAGAGGGAGTTGATGGGGGCCACTCCACGCCTGCATATTGGACAGCTCCCCTTCTGTCACCTGTTCTGGCGCTGAACTAGTCCATGAAATTAACTCAAGTGTTTTCTTTACCTTATAATGAGTTTTTTTTCTCTCTCTCTCTCTTAAATATTTCATCCCTCAGACTGTCCCTCCATGACCCTTAGAGTTCAATCATTCTGTTTTACATTATCATTGATGATCTATTTTAATATTTTCAATTCAGGGGATTCATAATATTTAGATTTGATACAGAGTTAAATATTTTAAAAGCTTTCTGTCTGTTAAGGTAGATGATAGTTACTCATTTCTGATGGAACAAAAACTCTGTTTGTGAAATATTATTAGACCATCCATCCATCCGTCCGTCCATCCATCCATCCATCCATCCACCCGTCCATCCATGCATTAACCCATTCATAATCCATCCATCCATCTGTCCGTCCATCCATCCATCCATCGATCCATCCGTCCGTCCGTCCATCAGTCCGTCTGTCCGTCCATCCATCCATTCTCCATCTGTCTATCCTTATCCATCTATTGATCGATCCATCCATCCCTCCGTCTATCCTCATCCATCCATCCATCCATCAGTCCGTCCGTCCGTCCATCCATCCATCCATCCATCCATCCATCCATCAGTCCGTCCGTCCATCCATCCATCCATTAACCCATTCATCATCCCTCCATCCATCCATCCATCCATCAGTCCGTCCGTCCATCCATCCATCCATTAACCCATTCATCATCCCTCCATCCATCCATCCATCTATCCATCCATCCATCCATCCATCTATCCATCCATCCCTCCGTCTATCCTCATCCATCTATCTATCTATCCATCCATCCATCCATCCATCCATCCATCCATCCATCCATCCATCCATCCATCCATCCATCCATCCATCCATCCAACTAGACCTGAACTAAAATAGATTCTATCTACTCTTCTTCCAGATGCTGGGACATGATCTATTTGATCTATTTTATTTATAAAGCACATTTTTAAAAAACCCCAACAGATTGCTGATCAAAGTGTTGAACATATCAATACAAAAAAATAGATCAGACAAAAACACAAAGTACACAGCTGACTTGTGACGGAAAAGAAGCAAAAAAAACCTCAAGGTTTGTGGAAAGGTAACAGAAGACATTAAAGCTGTCTGCCTAACATGCAGCGTGTTCTGTTCTAACTGCATAGAGTAGGAGTTGCAAATGCAAAAGCCCTTTGAGCCTTGAATGGCCGCTGATCAGCTGACCTTAGAGAGTGTAAAGGAACATAAAAACCCTAAGTTAAATATAAAGAGAGGTCAGACAATTCTGATGTTCAGGATAGCCTTGAACCGAGGAATGGGACAGTAGTAGATCACGTTGTGGATGCCTCTGGGTGTGTTACTGTTACTGATATTAAAGATCAGACCCCAGCTGCTCGTTTATTATGTTTAACACATTTCTTCCTTCCACCCAACTTTCCATTATTATACTTAGATACAGTCCCCTATGAACGGTCAGGTTCTTCCACAGTAAACCTTTTTGTCCTGCAGTAACTGCATGACTGTCTGACTGGCCATAAAAGAACATGTTTGAATCAATCATGTTCTAATCTGAGAAACAGTTTATTATCCATAACCATTAAACTTAACACAGTTAGACCATTGTCTTCAGTCTGGGTTTAATTAATCTGTATTTCTCTTTCTCTATACATGAAAAACAGTTAATTTTTCCCGATCAATATAGGGATGCACCTATTTTGCAGAATCCAGTATGAAACCCAAATCATTTAACATTTCCAAAAACATGGCTTAACTTGCCTTTTATTTGTTTTAGTGCATCATCAGCAATAAGTCAGTCCTGCAGATGATGATCAGGCTGATAAGCTTTAATTTACTAAGATGTGGTTTTCCCTCTGGTTTTCTGCAGAGGATTCTTCTAACCAACTGTTTGACTCTACATCAGTTTTACATGTTAATATTTCTGCAGACATTCTGTCTGTTGCAGCAAATGTGATCATTAAAAAAACCCTGGAAGAACTTGTGCAAGAGTTTTATCATGCATCAAACTTCCTGTCTGCAAATTGAGTCTCCTTAGGTGCCCACCTCTGCTGCATGCGGCCCGCCAGCCATGTTTTTAGGCTATTCTTACCTCATTTGCTGTTTTGTTAGAAGGCTACACTGAGAATCTGGCTTTGGAGCAGGAATGTTTTTACATCCAGAGTTTATTGCATGTCCATCAAAGCTGTTGGTAAATGGTCAGTTTGCATATTTACTTTTAAACACCTGTTGAAGTCAGAGGTTTTGCATCATGCTCTGCCTAATTAGCCTGTTAGAATGAGTACAGGGTGTCCACAGATGTTTGGTTACATTATTGAGTTCAAAGCTATAAAAATGCTAAATTCTACAATTTTAAATCCATCTCCTCAGGATCTTTATCCTTGAAGGTGGATCTCCACCTCAGTCATCCTGCAGCAGCATGCTGGTGAAGATTATCAGTCATCCAGGTCATAGTCATTCCGAAGAATTTAAAAAACAATCTCCTGGACTTTGTTTCCAAGTTTGAAGACGTTTCGCTTCCCATCCAGGAAGCTTTTTCAATTCAAAATGTCAGAAAACATGCAAATTGAACCAGAGGAACGAATCCACCCCTTAGTAATAGGGAGTCGTTTGGGTTTTTTTTTTAGCCTGCAATGCCTGATACTGGTCTATGCCTCTGAAAGGGGAGTCGTTAGGGGGAAACTGTTGGCCTGGCTGAATAGGCGAGATGTTTCGGCCTCCTGTATGGGGGTGGGGGTTTGCGATGAAAGCAGGAATTATAGGTTAACCTACATTGCAGTGATAGAGTTGATTCCTTAATAATAATAATAATAATAATAATAATACATTTTATTTGTATTGCACTTTACATTTAAAAAAATCTCAAAGTGCTACAAAATTCATAGTTAAAACAAAACCGTACAATAAAAACAGCATACATAGTTAAAATGAGACATTACAATAAAATAACATATGTAGTAAAAACAAAACAGTAAAATAACCATAAAACCACACAGAGTTGATTCCTTCCCGTTATCATCACAACTTCTACTCTATAAAGCCTTAAACTTGATGCTATTTCAGACATTTTGAATTGAAAAAGCTTCCTGGATGGGAAGAGAAACGTCTTCAAACTTAGAAACAAAGTCCAGGAGGTTGTTTTTTAACTTTTTTTGGAATCCTCAAGCAGGTTTGCTTTCAGGTTTTTAGCTCCATCCATCTTAAAATCAGCTGTAGATTTCCTTCTTCCTCCTGTAGAAAGGCATCACCATAGCATGATGCTGCCACCGCCTTGTTCCACAGTTTTGCTTGTAAGTAATTAGATTAGACCATGACATCTACTCTAAATGTTTGCTTTGTTCCCCTAAGTGGCTGGTGGATAGCTCAGAGGTTCTTCTCTGCAGGGCTCACAGCTAATAGTTGTAGAGTCAATAGATTCTTTCAGCAAACCCGTGGATGTCTGCAGCTCCTCCAGAGTTACCATGGGTGCCTCTTGGCTGCTTCTCTGGACTGAATATCGGAAACCTTCACGGTTTTTTTACGCTGAGTTAAAATGACAAACTCGGACTTTGATTAGGCAACGTGTAAAGTTAGTTTGTAGTAAAAAAAAGTAGTAAAAAGTTTAACAATCATCCTTTAAATTCAATAGTTATTCAAGACTTTTTTGATGTAAATTTGCAAAAGGGCAGGGATAAGGATACTTTTGCAAGAAACTGTAGCTTCACTGACTGAATTAGAGCTTGAATTAAAATTAGAACAGAATTAGAACTGAATTATAGCTCAATTACTATAAATGTTGCAAAATAAGCATCAGTTACTCTGTTTTCTCCATTTGTGACAGTTTTTTTCCTGGTGTATCCCGCTGTCTTGTGGCCCCAGAGATCGCTCTTATCTCAGGAGAAGCTGTGCTCGCTGGATTGCTGAGTCACCTTGGGAGTTTGCCCTTATCTCCTGAGAAGCACAACATTCAAGCGGTTGGTTTCAAAAGCTGGAACTTTGGGCAGGAGCACCCTGTGGCCTGCCGTGTCTTCATGGTGCGGGTTGCAGCAACACTTCCTCAAAGCTTCACGGCCTGCGACACTCCGCTTCTGGAGGTCAATGTTTTGTTTCTTTTTCTAATGTGAAGGTGCAAAGTGCTGCAGCGTAGGAGGGCCTGACGACTCAGGCCTCGCAGTGGAATGTGACTCAGCACATTAGAAAAAAGGATGTCCATTAATGAGGATGCTGCTGTTTGATCGCTGTAAACCTCCTAAGATTGGATCTCTGCACTTTTTCCGGGGTCGCGTCATATCACAAGCAATCAGTCTGAACTCATCTCTCTGTTTCCTGAGTTTTGACTCATGGAAACCATGTCGCTGTAATTAATATCATCACCTAGCTGGTCTCAAAACATCATCAGGTAGTGGTGACGGTCGACTGGCCAACAATAGGCTCGGGATGGTTCCTATTTCATGGATCTTTAAACAGTATTCAAAGTCTCACATCTGGAAGCACAGGCAGCATGTAACCCTTAATTGGTTTCAACACCTTAATAAGTCAAAGACGTTCAACACTGATAATCACATTAAATAGTCCAATTTATCGAAAAAGTCAATTGCAGAGTGAAAAAAGTCCCTTTCTTTAGGAATGCATTATGCTGTGAGGATGTCAGAGTAAATTAAATTCCCCTCTGCACACTAAAGCATCAATTTCCTTATGGTAATTATCTGCTGGAATAGACGTGTCACTAGAAGGAGGCAGGCATGCTTGACATTTAGCCTTTTTATGGGTAAAAATTAAGACGAGGGAAAGGAAATTAATCTCCAGCCCAGGCAGGCATTGAGAGATCCTGGAGGATAGTAGCTGAATCAATCATGATGTTTGTGAGCCTGTTTTGAAAAGGAACCGCTGATGTGATTCAG